TCAATTTTTAGATCTGTCAACTGAATGATATGGGTACCCGCGATCAGTATGGCTTTTTATGTTTCGAATAATATAAAATCTTCTTCGTGAAAATCCATCTACTAGAACTGCGGGGACTGGCCTCCCAAAAACACGAAATTTGGCATAAAATGTTTTTGAAAATATCGCGGATGACCTGATACGGTGTTTTAATCTTTTTCGAAAACAGAACTTTTAAAAATTCAGCCGAAAGAGAGATGTACCCAATTTATCTCAAAAATAGTGTGAGCTGGGTCATCCATGGTTCTTAATGGACCGCATTGAAATAGGTATAGTCGATGTTGTTGTTGTAGCAGCTTGTACTGCTGTGTATTTTTCTATTTTTTTTCCCCTTGTTCTGCCACTAACTCCAAGTTCAGGAAGGCTGCGACCTGTATTGGTTGAGTCCAGAGAGAAGATGGGGTTAGGTGAGTGGGTTTGGCTGGGCAGTTGAACAGACGTAGCGTGTCATGTGGTCCGTTACCACATGCCGGGCAGACATGGTCGACCTCTCCATCAATTCGTGCCCAATATGAATTGAGGCGGCTACACCATCCAGATCTTAGTTGTGCCAAGATAACTCTAGTTTGTCGAGGTAGCTGCTGTTCTTCTGCACACGATATTCTACGATTCAATACTGCTTGATAGGCATGTTGATCTAGAGGCTCCCTTTTGTATCTCTTGACCTCTCTCTCCAGATCATGGAGATCCTTCCTGACATGCCTGGGTGGTGGGTGCCTATCCATTAGGTAGCGGTTTGGATGGCTGCTCCTATAACACCCAAGCAGGTATTGCATCGACAACATCTTGCTGTGTTGACGCACAGGAAGGATCTTCGTCTCCTCATGTAAGTGGTCTATTGGAGTCATGAGGAGACATCCTGTTGCAGTCCTCAGGGCGGCATTCTGGCAGGATTGAAGACTTTTCCACTACGTTAGCGGACCACACTGGCGCCGCATAATTTGCCACAGAAAGGCCTATTGCTGTATAAGTCGTTAACAAGGTTTCCTTGTCAGCTCCCCAAGTGCTGCCGGCTAGCGACTTGAGAACTTTGTTTCTGCTCCTGACTTTATCGCAAATAGCTGTGGCATGCGCGGACGACTTGTATAGACTATCGAATGTGACCCCTAAAACCTTGGGGTAATTAGTGGTCGGAATTGTGGACCCCTCGATATGCACATCCAAAGATAGCCGCATCTCCGCTGTCCATGTGGTAAACAGTATGACCGTTGACTTAGTAGTGGACATTTTCATTTTTATATTCCGCGACCGGAAAAAGTTTGCGATATCCACGAGATAGTGGTTCAGCCTCTCGCAAATGCCATTAATTTTAGGTCCTGACGCCATAATCGTGCAATCATCCCCATATGTTACGATTTTTATGCCGTCCGGTGGGCATGGAATCCCAGAGAGGTAGAGGTTAAACAGTTCCGGATGTGGACTGGCGTCCACACATATAGTTCACAATCCAACGTTTCAAACTTGGCTGGAGGCGCAATACTCTTCTCTTCGCCCGGTCACTCTCGGGGTGCTCTATAAACTGCCGGTTGAAATAACACGCGCACCTCTTCGGATCTGCGCCGTTAAATGAGACAGAAGTCCGATCCTCCTTAATTCCAGGGTTCGAGAGCGACTTAACCGTTGCCCACAATTTACTCACTCCGGTACTGATGTTGCCACACTTCAGATGTTCTAGCCACTTTTTCCGCTTATGCTCGCTGACTAACCTGTTCACCTCCAACATCAGTTCTCTGACTCTGGGGTTAGTAGGGTTACTACGACGAAGCTCATTACGCTCATTCGCTAGTCCCGCTGCCTCTGCTGGGAAGTTTTGTCTTAGTTCGGGTATACAACTCCCAGGTATATAGCGAGCGGCTACAGTGATGATGTCCCGGAAATTCCTTTCTGCTACTCGAGCATCAGAAGGGGTGGGCAGTTCTCTGAAGCGACGACGAGGGTTGTTCTCTCGACGTCCTCGAACAGCTTGGCGTGACTGACGGTATCAAAAGCCTTTGACAGTCATGGTGGCCTAGCGCTAACATAACTGTCCTGTTACACGGCCTGTTCTGGTTGAGTCCTTCTGCTATGTATGTGGAAATGGCGTGTTGTTGATGATCAGCAATTGAGTAGCATTCACGAATGCTAGGGAGTAGTAAAGCCTCAAGTGTCTTGGCTAGTGGCGACATAAGTGAGATCGGCCTGTATGACTCACATTTGCTGGAATCCTTGCCCGGCTTCAGGAGCGGGTCCCCCTTCCCATTTTCCAGGCATCGGGAACTACTAGGGTGGCTAACGACAAGTTGAGGACTTTCGTAAGATATTCTACTCCAGGCTCATCAAGCTGCTTCAACATCACCATGGAGATTCCATCTGAACCAAGCGCTTTGGATGATTTCGCGTTCCTGATGACACTTGCAACATCCTCCAACGTAAATTGTGGTGGTTCCTCCTCCACTTAAAGAGAGCGCATACGGCGCAATACTCTTCTCTTCGCCCGGTCACTCTCGGGGTGCTCTATAAACTGCCGGTTCAAATAACACGCGCACCTCTTCGGATCTGTCACCTCAGCGCCGTTAAACGTGACAGAAGTCCGATCCTCCTTCTTTCTAGGGTTCGAGAGCGACTTAACCGTTTCCCACAATTTACTCACTCCGGTACTGATGTTGCCACACTTCAGATGTTCTAGCCACTTTTTCCGCTTATGCTCGCCGACTAACCTGTTCACCTCCAACGTCAGTTCTCTGACTCTGGGGTTAGTAGGGTTAGTACGACGAAGCTCATCACGCTCATTCGCTAGTCCCGCTGCCTCTGCTGGGAAGTTTTGTCTTAGTTCGGGTATACGACTCGCAGGTATATAGCGAGCGGCTGCAGCAGTGATGATGTCCCGGAAATTCCTTTCTGCTACTCGAGCATCAGAAGGGGTGGGCAGTTCACTGAAGCGATGATTGGTGAAATTTCTGAACTCTTGTCTCCGGGTATGTCCTCATTCACCGTGAAAAACGTTGAGCTATCAATTTGCTCGGCCAGCGCCATTACCTAGGACGGAATGCCATAACTCATGATGTGCATTGAAATCCCCTAGCACCAGACGGTTATTGCCTTCCAAAAGATGATTAATATCAGGCAAATAACGCGGGGCACATGTAAACGTTAAGCAACCCTACCTCGGCGGTACCACAGTTGACCGCTACCCTCGTACATTCCATGTTTGGGTCACTAGAGTCTAGCTCAAGCGATATAGGTCTGTACTGGACTGAATGGTGCAATACGAATGCTAATCCTCCACCTCTTGTACGAACCTTTCTAATCACGTTGTATCCATCACAACTCTGAAGACTGCAGGTGTTGTTCAGCTTCGTTTCCTGGATCTCAGAGACCATAATACTTCTTCGACTCATAAAATCCACTATCTCATAGATTTTCCCTCGAAGTCCATCGCAGTTGAATTGGAGAAAGGATACGTTATCGGGAGTTGCGACAGCAATGTGAGTCACGTAAACCAAAGACGACGACGATAATGACGTGGACCATGGTGATGACGACGACTCGCTGGGGACTGCATTGGCGCAGCATGAAGCAACGTAATCCCTTTCGCTATACTCCTGTATCCGGCTAAGGCCGGAACAACTCCTGAAATGTACCCATTCTCTGCATCCGTTGCATCTCACCGAGATAGATCTGTGGTGGATGCTGTTGTGACAAACTGAGCAGAAGCATTGTTCGGGGTTTGTCTCAATACCGGCACGGACCAAAGAATCCGGAGCAAACATTCCGGGTAATGAAGCTCCCAAGTTGAAAAAATACACATTGTACTTGCTGGGTTGACAGCCCTTGGTCGGAAGTTGATTCCTCCGATTCAATCCGGTACATAGAACCGGCCGTCGTGGGATTGGATCGATGTAGTTTTGTAGGGTGCACACGGAAAAATTATTCGCGTTTTACGAGTTTTTGGGTACATCAATGCAACATCAATGGGTACATCAATGCAACGACATCTTAGTCGTCAAATGAAATTTCGCAAAATATGCATGGATTGGAAGATCTGTAAACCCCTACAATGGTTAAAGCGTAAATAATTTCGGTGGCAGAAATTTTGTTAAAATAAAATTAAAAAAGAACATTTTGTAGTCATTTATACAAACTATTATTAAATAGAACAGTTTTCAGTTGAAGTTTTTCAGGATTTATTTGACTATTGTCACTGTATTTGGTAACACAATTGTTTTTGTTGGTTGCTGCTTCAGTTTTGTTTACATTCCTGCTTTTTCAGTTGCTGTCAGTATTTGGTATTGTAGAGCTGTAAACTTGCAATTGTTGACAATGGCACCCAAGAAGAAGGTGTACTGGTATTCTGGGTATTTGTTGATCTCTGAAACCCCATCAACATCACAACATACGCAATCACGCACCGACTAACGAACCCACGGTCTTTCCTTGTTTTTTTACTTTATTTTCTACATCCAATAGAATAATTGAAATAATTGACGCTGCTCCTCTTCCTTAATTTCTTGGAAAATATCGAGCAAATATTTGCTCAAATGTGACCACACGTCAAACATGTTTTCCCATTTCGTTAATTGACACTATTTGCCTGCTGTTTTAGCAAACAAAATGTGTCAAATATTTGAGTGTTTGGGCAAACAAAATATAAGACATTTGAGTCAAATATTTGCGTAGTGTGACCTTACCTTTAATCAAAGCACTTTTTCCTTTCAGGTATGTGCTAATTAGGTGATATTTTCAGATGAAGAAGACTAGATATAACTTCTTAATAAACATATATAAAATGTTCATATTACAAAATTATTATTAAGCTCCCATGTGGTTTAGTATAGTAAAAGTCCCTTGAACATTAATAAGAAAACAACTACATTTGAAGCTACAAAGTTTTAAATATTTATTGTATATTTCTTATAAATATTTATGTCAAATGGTTAATACGTATATAGTATGTATGTATTGTATAAATTATTAGATTCGACAAATGAGAAAGTATTATTTACATATTGTATGCGACGTATATAGGATCCAATTGATCGGCTAAAAAACCATCGCGTAAATGCATTCGTTGTTTTTCGCCCCTGCTGTTTATTGGAACAACACCTGAAAAAAAGATACTGGTCATTAATTTATTTGAAACAAATGTAATATCATACATAAATGCTCTTAATAGAAAAACTGATTAATATCAAAATCGGACTAAGACAAAAAAGTTCAGGAACCGAAAACAACAGGTTGTGAATCTTTGCTACATTCTTAATGGTGAGTATTGATTTGATTCGTTATGTAGATTAAACTGTCGTGCAAACTTGGGGATACAGTAAATAATAAAGAGGTAATGCTGACTTATCATTCCTTGTTCGACTTTTAATTATAAAATAACTATTTAATTCCACATACAACATTTTCTTTCTTATTTCAATTGTTTCGAATCCATAATATATATTAAAATTAACATTTTGTTATGCATTTCTGTGTGAAAGAAGTGAATAGTTTTGGGTTAATTGACCTGTCGTTGCAAAATGTTCATGATATTGACCTCCAAACTTTATTTTGGTGGAAGCTGTGTCTACTTTAATGTAAAAAAATGTGTAAAAACAGGTTGAGGCAAACCAGTTTTTTATGTTCTCTATCGATTTGTGATTAAGCCACTTACTTCACGGTCTTTGTGTTAAAATAAAACTAGAAGCCAACACAATGTGGACTACGTCTCTTATGTATCATTTTTCAAAAATGTTGACATTTTGAAGCTCGATTTTGAGTGTTTTTTGAATTTTACTTCTAGCATTAATACGCGAATCTGAGTAATCTGATATATATTTTGTGTATGTAGTATGCACAGTATCAGAGTAATACTCATCAATTTTTAGATCTGTCAACTGAATGATATGGGTACCCGCGATCAGTATGGCTTTTTATGTTTCGAATAATATAAAATCTTCTTCGTGAAAATCCATCTACTAGAACTGCGGGGACTGGCCTCCCAAAAACACGAAATTTGGCATAAAATGTTTTTGAAAATATCGCGGATGACCTGATACGGTGTTTTAATCTTTTTCGAAAACAGAACTTTTAAAAATTCAGCCGAAAGAGAGATGTACCCAATTTATCTCAAAAATAGTGTGAGCTGGGTCATCCATGGTTCTTAATGGACCGCATTGAAATAGGTATAGTCGATGTTGTTGTTGTAGCAGCTTGTACTGCTGTGTATTTTTCTATTTTTTTTCCCCTTGTTCTGCCACTAACTCCAAGTTCAGGAAGGCTGCGACCTGTATTGGTTGAGTCCAGAGAGAAGATGGGGTTAGGTGAGTGGGTTTGGCTGGGCAGTTGAACAGACGTAGCGTGTCATGTGGTCCGTTACCACATGCCGGGCAGACATGGTCGACCTCTCCATCAATTCGTGCCCAATATGAATTGAGGCGGCTACACCATCCAGATCTTAGTTGTGCCAAGATAACTCTAGTTTGTCGAGGTAGCTGCTGTTCTTCTGCACACGATATTCTACGATTCAATACTGCTTGATAGGCATGTTGATCTAGAGGCTCCCTTTTGTATCTCTTGACCTCTCTCTCCAGATCATGGAGATCCTTCCTGACATGCCTGGGTGGTGGGTGCCTATCCATTAGGTAGCGGTTTGGATGGCTGCTCCTATAACACCCAAGCAGGTATTGCATCGACAACATCTTGCTGTGTTGACGCACAGGAAGGATCTTCGTCTCCTCATGTAAGTGGTCTATTGGAGTCATGAGGAGACATCCTGTTGCAGTCCTCAGGGCGGCATTCTGGCAGGATTGAAGACTTTTCCACTACGTTAGCGGACCACACTGGCGCCGCATAATTTGCCACAGAAAGGCCTATTGCTGTATAAGTCGTTAACAAGGTTTCCTTGTCAGCTCCCCAAGTGCTGCCGGCTAGCGACTTGAGAACTTTGTTTCTGCTCCTGACTTTATCGCAAATAGCTGTGGCATGCGCGGACGACTTGTATAGACTATCGAATGTGACCCCTAAAACCTTGGGGTAATTAGTGGTCGGAATTGTGGACCCCTCGATATGCACATCCAAAGATAGCCGCATCTCCGCTGTCCATGTGGTAAACAGTATGACCGTTGACTTAGTAGTGGACATTTTCATTTTTATATTCCGCGACCGGAAAAAGTTTGCGATATCCACGAGATAGTGGTTCAGCCTCTCGCAAATGCCATTAATTTTAGGTCCTGACGCCATAATCGTGCAATCATCCCCATATGTTACGATTTTTATGCCGTCCGGTGGGCATGGAATCCCAGAGAGGTAGAGGTTAAACAGTTCCGGATGTGGACTGGCGTCCACACATATAGTTCACAATCCAACGTTTCAAACTTGGCTGGAGGCGCAATACTCTTCTCTTCGCCCGGTCACTCTCGGGGTGCTCTATAAACTGCCGGTTGAAATAACACGCGCACCTCTTCGGATCTGCGCCGTTAAATGAGACAGAAGTCCGATCCTCCTTAATTCCAGGGTTCGAGAGCGACTTAACCGTTGCCCACAATTTACTCACTCCGGTACTGATGTTGCCACACTTCAGATGTTCTAGCCACTTTTTCCGCTTATGCTCGCTGACTAACCTGTTCACCTCCAACATCAGTTCTCTGACTCTGGGGTTAGTAGGGTTACTACGACGAAGCTCATTACGCTCATTCGCTAGTCCCGCTGCCTCTGCTGGGAAGTTTTGTCTTAGTTCGGGTATACAACTCCCAGGTATATAGCGAGCGGCTACAGCAGTGATGATGTCCCGGAAATTCCTTTCTGCTACTCGAGCATCAGAAGGGGTGGGCAGTTCTCTGAAGCGACGACGAGGGTTGTTCTCTCGACGTCCTCGAACAGCTTGGCGTGACTGACGGTATCAAAAGCCTTTGACAGTCATGGTGGCCTAGCGCTAACATAACTGTCCTGTTACACGGCCTGTTCTGGTTGAGTCCTTCTGCTATGTATGTGGAAATGGCGTGTTGTTGATGATCAGCAATTGAGTAGCATTCACGAATGCTAGGGAGTAGTAAAGCCTCAAGTGTCTTGGCTAGTGGCGACATAAGTGAGATCGGCCTGTATGACTCACATTTGCTGGAATCCTTGCCCGGCTTCAGGAGCGGGTCCCCCTTCCCATTTTCCAGGCATCGGGAACTACTAGGGTGGCTAACGACAAGTTGAGGACTTTCGTAAGATATTCTACTCCAGGCTCATCAAGCTGCTTCAACATCACCATGGAGATTCCATCTGAACCAAGCGCTTTGGATGATTTCGCGTTCCTGATGACACTTGCAACATCCTCCAACGTAAATTGTGGTGGTTCCTCCTCCACTTAAAGAGAGCGCATACGGCGCAATACTCTTCTCTTCGCCCGGTCACTCTCGGGGTGCTCTATAAACTGCCGGTTCAAATAACACGCGCACCTCTTCGGATCTGTCACCTCAGCGCCGTTAAACGTGACAGAAGTCCGATCCTCCTTCTTTCTAGGGTTCGAGAGCGACTTAACCGTTTCCCACAATTTACTCACTCCGGTACTGATGTTGCCACACTTCAGATGTTCTAGCCACTTTTTCCGCTTATGCTCGCCGACTAACCTGTTCACCTCCAACGTCAGTTCTCTGACTCTGGGGTTAGTAGGGTTAGTACGACGAAGCTCATCACGCTCATTCGCTAGTCCCGCTGCCTCTGCTGGGAAGTTTTGTCTTAGTTCGGGTATACGACTCGCAGGTATATAGCGATCGGCTGCAGCAGTGATGATGTCACGGAAATTCCTTTCTGCTACACGAGCATCAGAAGGGGTGGGCAGTTCTCTGAAGCGACGATTGGTGAAATTTCTGAACTCTTGTCTCCGGGTATGTCCTCATTCACCGTGAAAAACGTTGAGCTATCAATTTGCTCGGCCAGCGCCATTACCTAGGACGGAATGCCATAACTCATGATGTGCATTGAAATCCCCTAGCACCAGACGGTTATTGCCTTCCAAATGATGATTAATATCAGGCAAATAACGCGGGGCACAGTTATTTAACGGCGGAATGTAAACGTTAAGCAACCCTACCTCGGCGGTACCACAGTTGACCGCTACCCCCGTACATTCCATGTTTGGGTCACTAGAGTCTAGCTCAAGTGATATAGGTCTGTACTGGACAGAATGGTGCAATACGAATGCTAATCCTCCACCTCTTGTACGAACCTTTCTAATCACGTTGTATCCGTCACAACTCTGAAGACTGCAGGTGTTGTTCAGCTTCGTTTCCTGGATCGCAGCGACCATAATACTTCTTCGACTCATAAAATCCACTATCTCATTGATTTTCCCTCGAAGTCCATCGCAGTTGAATTGGAGAAAGGATACGTTATCGGGAGTTGCGACAGCAATGTGCGGTCTTAGCGGCTGCGGCGCATGCTGCTGCGAGATTGCGGAGGAGTCACGTAAACCAAACACGACGACGATAATGACGTGGACCATGGTGATGACGACGACTCGCTGGGGACTGCATTGGCGCAGCATGAAGCAACGTAGTCCCTTTCGCTATACTCCTGTATCCGGCTAAGGCCGGAACAACTCCTGAAATGTACCCATTCTCTGCATCCGTTGCATCTCACCGAGATAGATCTGTGGTGGATGCTGTTGTGACAAACTGAGTAGAAGCATTGTTCGTGGTTTGTCTCAATACCGGCACGGACCAAAGAATCCGGAGCAAACATTCCGGGTAATGAAGCTCCCAAGTTGAAAAAATACACATTGTACTTGCTGGGTTGACAGCCCTTGGTCGGAAGTTGATTCCTCCGAGTCAATCCGGTACATAGAACCGGCCGTCGTGGGATTGGATCGATGTAGTTTTGTAGGGTGCACACGGAAATCGGATGCGCGTTAATGGCATATAGAATTTTCGGAAATTATTCGCGTTTTACGAGTTTTTGGGTACTTCAATGCAACGTATAGTACATCTTAGTCGTCAAATGAAATTTCGCAAAATATGCATGGATTGGAAGATCTGTAAACCCCTACAATGGTTAAAGCGTAAATAATTTCGGTGGCAGAAAATTTGTTAAAATTAAATTAAATTAAAAAAGAACATTTTGTAGTCATTTATACA